ATGTCAATATTGACGTATTGTTCTTTCGTGGTAGAAGTTAAAACACACTGATCCATCTTGGAGGAGTTGACGTATTCTTTGACCTGGGGTCTTTTTGTGAAGATGAGCCTAAAGATAAACCTAAGGGTAGATATTTGCTTTTAAAGATATTATAGGGACTTAATAACGGATCTGTATGTTTCGAGATTTGAGCATCCTCTGGGACATAAGAGTATTTTATAAGATTTTTTATTATTGATGAAAGAGTTTTAAAGATATTTTTTGAAAGAAAAAGAGTAGAATTTAACGGGATCAGACTTTGGTGGTTGTGTTTCGTTATTCATTTCTAAAAATTTCTTCTTTTACTCGCCTTTTGTATATATTTTCTACTATCACACCCACTTCTCATAGTTAATTTAAAAATGATACATAATAAATTATATTATTTTTATAAAAAAGTTATCACATAACTAATATTGTTTATTGTGTATTTATTATGTAATGAAATTCACTTGATTTTGTTAACTTAATCAAATTTAAAAATTTTGAACTTATTATTTTATCTAATTTTATTTAGATTTAGTAAATAAAATCTAACTCATATTTAAAAAATATAATCGGGTTAGATTGATTTGTAATTGAGATGCAACATGCTAATCTGATTAAAAGAAAAATATTAATAGTTTTTTTTATTAAAAACATATTAAGCATTAAATTATGTAAAAATTGTTGGAATTAATATAATTATACAATTTCAATGATCCGTTTAATTTAATTTATCAAGTCATGACTAAATTTTAATCTTTATATCATATTTTTATTAATATTTTTTATAATACGAAATGTGTTATTGTTTAATACTTTTTATTATCTAAGTTCCCAAATTATTAATTTATTATGTAAACTTTTCCCAATTTTTTAAAGACCATTTTTTATTTATAATATTAATTTGTGACGTTTATATTATAAAATGAGTTTAATTTTCATGATTTCAAAATAGGATTTTAAAAATAGTTATAAAAAAAATCTCGTTTTTATGTGGAAAGAAAGAAAACCCAACTAAAAACTACGGGTGACAACTTGGGCTTAATAATAAATGATTTATGTTACTGGGCCTGATCTAACCCCAATTGAATTTATGTTAAATTATGAAGAGAGCATCGCTAAGACTATACTTATTCTTAACTAAACTGACAAGTAAGAAAGAGTTGACCATCATTATAACGGATTTTGTTTTAACTTTTCATTTATGACATTTCTATTACTCTATGTTTGATGATTTATTACGTTGATTTAATAAGTTTGATAGTTTTTTAGTTATCTTTCATCTTCAAAATTAATAATTTTTAATGCAAGTTATTTGTTTTTTCTAAATCAATTATTATTTTATGAAATTTTAATTAATCTTCCTGACTTTTTATTTAATTAATTATTTATCATATTAGGAATTAAAAAAACATAAATTTAATAACTATTTCTAGATCAAGAAACAATTTTTGAAAAAAATATATATAATTTTTTTCTTCAACTTTATTTATCAAACAAACATATTTATTTTTTTATAATATAATCTTCTCCAACTTTGTCTTCAAGAAATTTGTCCAAAACTCAGGGAGAACATTATATTTATCAATTTTTTTTGTCATGTTCTTTATAATTTCATTCTCATCTTTTACTCTTTTTTTTTTCTTTAGAAGACATTGAATTTTTTAAAACTTGTATAAAAATACATATTGAATGCAAGGTCACCTAATGAAAATTAAAGTTGTTATATTATAAAATAATAATAATAAAATATTAATCTTTTATATTTTTTTTTCATTTTTCTTAGAAAAAAAAACTTAAAACATATTGGTATTTAATCTGACTCATTATCACATTTTGTTTAGTGTATGCTTAAAACATATTGAGGAAAACACTAAGTGTTTGTTTTCATCTGTTTACTTTTAACGCAGAAATGAGTAATTATGTTTGGTTATGTGGTATTAAGTTAATTTGTATAAAAATTATATAGTAATGAGGTCCACGTGAATAAAGTTACCGTGTCTTTGAAGAAAAAGCTGAAAAATAAACATAATTGATTATATATCCTTATATAATTAATTATGCTAATCCATATAACAGATTATATTATACAACATAATTGATTGTGTATACTCATATAATTAATTATGAGTATGATCTTTATATGAATATTTTAAAATTTTTACATAAATATCTTTCTCTTTTACATATATTTTCTTTTTTACATTTATTATCAAACTACAAATATTTATATTGAGTTGATATTACGTTTGTTTTGATAATTTTCTATAAAAAATAAATTAAAATTTTCAGTTAAAATTAATTTATCCTTACAAAAATTATAAAAACGATCTTATATAAAATTTCATTTCTTATACAAATTAAACCTATTATATACAATTTAATAAATATAAATAAAATTTACATAAATATTTAATCAATTTTATTGTTTCAAGAAAATATTTTTTTATCAATAGCATGATTTAATAAAAACTATTAAAAAAATATATTTAATAATTCATATCTTCTTTTAACCATGATTCATTAATAATACTTTTTAATTAAATTATATTTTTAATTTATTATAAAAAAACAAATAAAAAATATAACACAGTTTTTTCTTAATCATTATCTAATAAGAATATGTTAATTAATATAATTCTTTAAAATAATTTAATTTATATATATATATATATTTATTTATTTATAAACTATTGAAAACATATAGTTTATATAATTTAAAATAAATACTAAATTTGAAATTAAAATTTTTAATTAGAATATTTTATTTTAAAAATAAATAAAATATTAAGTATATAAAAGTAATTTATAAAAAATAAATTTTATTTCTTTATTTATTTTAAAAGATAATAATAGAAGAATAATTAGTTTATTTATTATCTTCACGCTTTTTATAATTTATATATAAATTAAATTTTATTAAATAATTATTTTATATTAAATTATATCTATCTCAATTTTAATTTACATTTTTTTTATGATTATAATTTTTAATTATCAGTATGCTTTTTATTCAAGTTTTTTTGAACGACAATACATCAAATATGAATATTATACTTTGTTTCAATATTATATTTTATGTAAGAAGAATTTTTCCAGATAAAAAAAACTAATAAATTATTATTAAGACAATAAAACAAAAAATTTTAAACATTCTCATAAAATATTTAAAATTATTTTTATATTTTATATAAAATAGTTCTATTATATCTCAAAATTTTATATATAATATAAATTAATTACTTTATGATAAATTACATTCTAATTTATATTTATTTTATCTTTTATTAATATAGGAGTATTTTAGTCATTATATACTTTATATTATTATTTTAATTTTTTTTATTTAATCACATCAATTTATCATTTATTATCTTTTCATTCATTTCTCTTTATTTTTTACTTTTTTTCTTTTTCTTCTCAATCTAAACAACTTCACTTTTCACCCTCTTTCTCTTTTTTTTACTCTCTCGTATCCATTCTTCGATAAGAGTCTCAAAATGACAAATGACACATGGTTCTCTACTTTGTAAGTAAAAAGTGATATTAAAAATCCTAAAAGAATATTAAAGTAATTTACTCTTAAAATTAAATTACTTCCAAAATAGGTTAAAATATAAAAAAGTAAATTTATTTATTCAAACAATATATTTAAACCTATAAAAAATTTAAGTAGTATAAAATATTAGCATTTTAATTTTTAAAAGTTCTGATTGAATCATAACTCAAAATACTTGGGTTGTTCAACTTTATTTTCCAATTGTTAAGATTGAGAAAAAAATTATTCTACTTTTTGCTTTTATTTTCAATTTTATATTTGAATTCCATTATAATTGCAAAGTTTGTGATGAAATTTATAAGCAAAGTTTGTAATGGTTGATGGGGATACGACAATTGTCCCGGATGACAACAACAAATACAGAAAATGAAAACGACTTTATATTTTTTTCAAATTTTAGTTTTTCTTTTAAAACATGTTTAAAGAAAATATAGTTGTTTTAAAAGAAAATATAGTCTAAACCAAACCTATTCCAATAACTCATTCCTGAACACTCATTTTTCCTTAAAAAATTAACATTAACAGAAAAACCTAGACATGACTAATAAAATGATTAAAATTTATAAAAAAAATTTTGAAATATTTTTATAACAAAGATTTTCAAGTGTTTGTCACTCCACATTACAATTCCTTTTTAATTTTTTCCATGTGTTTCCTAATCTGAATTACATCTATTTATATTACTTTTAACAAATACAATTTTTTATAATGGTTATATCTCCATTATCCCTTGATTCGCATTCCTGTATTTATACCCTTTGGATGGGTTGTAACTCATATATATATTGATGATAGGTGGTTTATTCTTTTCAAAAACTAATATTGAAGAAAGAAAAAGCAAATCACTCATGATGCAAGCAAGACAGCAGCATTCCTTAAAATCAAATATATCCAAGTATCTAAAGGGTAAGTAACAATAATCATAATCAAGTTTGTCCAAAAAAAACAAGTATTAAACACAAATTTTCCCATTATAAACTATATCAGCATTCTCTCGCAGGAAATTTCAGTCACATTGCAAATAAAAGAATAAACTACGCATGAAACTGAGAGACAAACTTAGATATATATTGATACATTATACTCAAGCAGAACTCAATGTTTATAAGAGTTATGTTAAGCATAAAGGAGCAAAATGGTTTAGCAATTTACATGGACAAGGTTTTTTTCATTAATGCCACTTCATATCTGTTGACAAGGTTGATAAAAGCTATTGCTGGATAAGACATGATGGTCAAAAGTATTCTTTCTATAGATTAAACCATCACTACAGTAATAAAGAGGACTAAAAGCCATATAAGTGCTGCCATATAAAAAATGAGAATATACCACCACCATACTACAAACATGCTTTACAGGTATAAACCGTCTCAACGATAGACAAACCCAACCAGATATATGGCATGAATGCAGGGATTTAAGATGATGACTGTTCAGAACCATCAAATCCTACACCATCAAGCCATGAAACAACTAATTCAATATGGGGTCTCTTCCTTGGATCTTCATCTATACATTTACAAGCAATAGTTAGTACCTCTAAGAGCTGTTTCTCATTATCCTTGTGCCAAATGACTGAATCAAAAATTTCTTGGTCCCTATTCTCAGATTTCATCTGAAACAACCATGACACTAGATTCCTGTTGCATTGCCCGACGATGACTTCTACAGGCCTTCGACCAGTAAGAAGCTCAATAAGAACAACACCAAAGCTATAAATATCACCCTTGAATGTTGCTTTCAGTGCTTGACTATATTCAGGAGGAATATATCCTAATGTTCCCACTAAATCTGTTGAAACATGGGTATCATAAGGTTGAAGTAACCTTGAAAGACCAAAGTCAGCCAAATAAGCTTCGAATTTATCATCCAAAAGTATGTTGCTAGACTTAATATCTCGGTGCACAATATGTGGTTCACACTCGTTGTGCAAATAAGCTAGTCCATAAGCTGCACCTTGGGCAATCTTGAGTCTTACATTCCATTTAAGAGCTGAATTTCCATCCTCACTCTCATGCAGCCAACAGTCAAGGCTTCCATTCTCCAAGTAGGAGTAAATTAACAATCTGTCATTGACATGCTGACAATAACCTTTGAGTGAAACAAGGTTCTTATGTTGAGCTCTTGAGAGTGCCTCAACTTCTGCTTGGAATTCTCGTTCCACCTGACCACAGTATCCCGATAGTTTCTTGACAGCTACCTTTGTGCCATTGGGAAGATTCGCCTTGTAGACAAGACCAAACCCACCGCAACCAATTATATTTTCTTGGCTAAAATTGTTAGTGGATTTTATCAAATCTTCAACTGTGAGACCTTTGCAATCTGAATTTTGAAAAAACACCAATTTTGAAGTAACAAGCGCTTCAGGTATCCTGTTTGGCCAGCTAAGCTCCTCATCAAAGTTGTCAACTGGTTTATCCTCACCCCTCTTTGACATTCTTAGCAGAATAACTGCAAGAAGTAGTGCAAGGCCTACTCCTAAACCAATTGTGATGCCAAGGACACTGCTTTTACCAAATTTCCCCCCGGAATGAGAAGACATGTTGGCTTTTTTTTCGTTGTTACAATGATGATATGTCTCCCCACAAAGCCCCAGGTTTCCCTCAAAACTTGAATTAGGGAAACTTGAAAATTGCCCCCCAGATGGAATTGTTCCCCATAAGTGATTATATGCCACACTGAACTTAGACAAGAATGTGAGGCTGTTAAATGATGAAGGAATAGTTCCAAAGAGATTATTATTAGATAAATCTAATGTTTCCAAATTCTTCATCTCAGAAATAGAGCTCGGAATGGTGCCAGTGAGGTTGTTCCTGCTTAAATCCAAGATATGAAGTTCTTTCAAACGACCAATTTCAGGCAATATTGTTCCATTTAATCTGTTATTGCTCAAGTATATTGATGGAGGGAAACTCGAAGCATGGTTATATTGCAGTCCATTATCACTCTTGTTTCTCTTGACATAGAGAGGAATAGCAGCAGATGCAAAGAGACTTGATAATTGATAATTTAAGGATATGAGGCACTTAAGCTCTGTCAAACTTCTTGGAAATTCTCCCATAAGAGAATTATTTGACAAATCCAAGTAGAACAAATGGTCCATCCAACCAATCCAAGAAGGGATACTACCTTCCAAATGGTTCCATGACAAATCAAGAACTTCCAATTTCGAGCAATTCAATAGCCAAGCAGGGATACGACCTTTGAGACCACAATTTCCAAGTGCTAAAACCACAAGGCTCTTGAAGCTTACTGTTAAATTTTCTGGAATTTCCTCACCATGGAAATTCTTTGTAAGGATAAGAGTGCTGATATTTTTGCACTGCTGCAGGACATAAAGCGCCCCGAATAAGTTCTCAAAGCTATTGTTTGACAGAGACAGAGTCAAAAGTGAAGAGAGGTTTGCATAACTCCCAGGGATTTGGCCAGTAAATTCATTTTTTGCAAGGCTTAACATTGTCAATTCATGGCAATTGGACAAAGAATTTGGAAGGGACCCATTAAAATGATTGCTACCAAGGTCCAACGTGGAAAGATTAGACAACCCAGTGAAATTAAGGCTAACAGAACCTGTGAAAGAATTATTTCGAAGATCAAGCACTTGAAGTTTTGAGCATAAGGACAAGGTGGAAGGCAATGATCCAGAAAATGAATTGGAGTGTCCTACTAGTTGTTCAAGGTCCAAAAGATTCCCAAAAATATTAGGGAGATCCCCCGAGAACCGATTTCCAGAAATGATTAGAGATTTTAGGTTTGAGAGGTTACTTAGCTCCATGCTCAACTGACCAGACAGATTGTTCACAGAGACTGACAGCTGCTCCAAGGCTGACATTGAATACAAGGAATCAGGAAGATAGCCAGTAAATAAATTGGAATCTAAATGTAACTCTTGGAGAGATGTGCTACAGTCTCCCAACCATTCAAGACCACCAGAAAAATGATTTTTTGATATATCAAGAATGTGAATACCCTTGGAGGAGCTGCAAATTTGAGAATTGAACTGGCCAGTGAATGAATTATTGCTTATGCTGAGAGCAAGGAGATGTTCTAAGCCCCCAATTTCAAAGAGGTCTCCGACAAATAAATTGCTAGAAATATTCAGTATCTGAATGGATTGCAAACCAGAGAGTGGCCCACCAACTGCTCCAGACAACATATTATGGCTCAAGTCAAGAACTTCTAACTGCTTCAAATTAGAGAACTCGGAAGGCAATCCACCTTGGAGACCATTGAACGAAATATTAAGCACTTTCAGCTCATCAAGATAAGCTAAAGAACTTGAAATCGTGCCGTTAAGACCCATTCCAGGCAGAATCAACTTGGACACTCTACTAGCAGCTTCTCCATCAACCACATCATTACAAACAACTCCAACCCATTTGCAGCAAACAACATCATCTGACCATGCTGTGATGATAGACCCTATTGAAAGGTTGCCTGCAAATTCCTTCAGGGCCAACAAATCATGCTTGTCACAGGATCTGGCTAGGGTCTCAAGTCCCGCAGAAAAGCAAATAAAGCATGTCAAGAAACTCCATTGCACAAAAGCCATAGGGCAACATCTTTGCAACACCATTTCAGAAAACAAAATAGAAGATAGACGTGTGCAACTTCAAATCATCACTAGAAGTTCAGTGCTTTCCACAACTCAGAAGACCCCAACCTCCAAAATTATCAACACTCGGTAAATGGACAAACTGCAACTGCATACATAAAGAAGACAAATAACAAAGTGAAAACTATTGATATCACCAACACACCAAAACCAAATACAGGAAAAACAAGAAGAAGTGGGAAAGACTACTAAATCTGAATGCAAATGCAAATTAGTAAACAATCCACTTCAGGGGAGAGGATGGTCAAATAAAGAAAAGGGACCATTTTACAACAGCGTGAGGATGAAGCAATCAATAGTAACCAGTTGAAAATAAAAAGTACACAAAAGGAACTAAAAAGAACATTGAATTCACGTAGAAGCAGTGAGATGACTAACAGAAAGTAAAGATCCCATCACCATTAACATTACCGGTAGCTGAACTCTATCCTTAACAATGACCATTCAAATGAAACATCGGCCTACTATGGCCACCCACAAAGTCCTCTTTCGTAAAAGTGAAATATCGGGTCAGTTAGATGGCAGAAAAGTTTGAAAATAAGCACAAAAAGCGTTGAAGAAGCATAAAAGAAAAGGAATGGGAAAGTCATAGTGCATTTTACCTAACCTTTTCAGACCAGTGGCCAATTGGGTTTGTTTCAAACCAGGAGTATATGATTTTCAGAACCGAAAAAGGAGATGGTGGAGTTGAGAGGAAAACAAAAGATAGAGATACTTCACATCAAGGAACAGTATAAAGGAGACAAATTTAGCACGGGTGCTACATCTCACCATCACCCTTGTTACTCAATAAACAAAAAGGGCATTAAATATAACAATGATCATATTCATTGTCATCTTTCACACTCTTCACTTCTTTCATTCCTTTTTCATAGCATATTATTCAGGTTTGGATGTGTTGAAATCTGTTTGAGTTGGATCCAAGTGGCTAAACTCGATCTTGTTTTTATTCTAATTTTATATGACATTGTTAAGGGATACTATTTTTGATTGATTCTATTGTGATTTTACACAAATTGAAAAAAAAGAAAAAAATCAAGATACTAATACTTATTAAGAATCAATTTTACTAAAAATAATCTTATTTTCTTTCTTAACTTCAGTAAATATATTATTATGTATTTTTCATGACAATAATATATAATAAAAATATGAATGAAGGGAGCACTTTGTAATCACATTTTAGTAGTGAAAAACATTTTTTATAAATATATTTTCTTAACTTTATCAAAGATTATTTACTTTTATAACTATATTTTTATTCACATTCATTTTATTTACAAAATTTCGATTCGGTAGTTTAAAATATCAAATAATTTTTTTTATTGTTAATATCAATATTTATTTGGCCAAATTTCTTTCTGACAACTTCTACAAGAAAATAAAAATAAAAATAGTTTTTCATTAATTAAAATTAACTTATACATTAATAACCGGGATTAATTCTTTTTGGTTTATTGATTTCTTTTCTTTTTACAGCTTGATAATAATATTGTTTTTAATCTGGTTGAAACTAGTGATATATATCTGTATAACATTCATAATAAATTTATCTAATCTGTAATTTTTTTACAACAAAGCATGTCCAACCTAGAAGTAGAATTGCAAAATTCTGTATGCATAAATTTTGACAAATTAGTATATCTTCCAAATCTAATTTTGTTCCTTAATTTCTAAATATTGATTAGTTATATAATCTGCACTCTCATAAGACTTCAGATAGATTGAATTAAACATAGATAGTGATTTTATGATTTTACTGACAATGCCAATATTTTAGAGTCTTCATTATCACATTACAACTATAATTAAGACCACTTAATTGCGTTCATCTATAATTTTTCAAAATATTAAGAATCATGACAGAATATTTAACCCGTTCCAACACACATGAAGCACCAAATGCCCTCAACTGAGTAAGAACAAAGTAGATACTTTATGCTTCTATGTTCCTTTTCTGTACTTCATGGAACTGTAAATATGCCACACATGCATTGCCAGATGCTTAAAGAGTTGTTTTTTCAATCCAAGTACAGATATACTGATATTACAGACACGCAAATCTAATCCACAACACTGAACCGAGGATGAAGAGTAGGTTGCATAGCCTTACTCCACAAGTAGTGATATTATTTCCTGATAATGAATAGAAACAGAAAATAAAAGTATAGAGAATAGAAGAAGAGATATGTATGAAAAGATTACTATTTTATTCACAATAGTATGAGTCATTTTTACAGGCAACTACACAACCAGAGTTATTGATAACCCAATAAAGTAGGACGATTATTAAGTAATAAAAACATAATAAAACGTTACACAATAGAAAATATAATATTTCTAATGTCTGAAAACGGAATTATGATGGATTTTATAGTTTATGCAAAACGATGTGTGCCCCATGTTTTGGCTGCAAAGTAAGGACAACAGTTGGAGCATGTGTATAAGCAGGAGAAAGTTCAAAGGAGAAATGCTGCAGAAGCAATGACAACGCTATCTTAGCTTCCATTAAGGCAAAGTTTTGGCCAATGCATGTTCTAGGACCCCATCCAAATGGGTAAAACGAAACTTGACCTTTTGTTGCATTAGCAATTCCTTCAGAGAACCTTCCAGGTTTGAACTCCTTTGCATCATCACCCCAGGTATCCCTATCCTGGTGAAGCACACATATTGGCAACGCAACCTTTACTCCTGCAGGTAGTGATAGGTTTCCAAGTTTCATGTCCTTCTGAAGAGTGCGATTGAAGTAAACATTAGGAGGGTATAGCCTCAGAACCTCGTTCAGAATCATGGTCATCTATATATGGAAGAAACATTTTGGCACATGTTAGCATGAAATGTAATCTAAACAAATAATAATAACATGAAAGCATGTCATACATACAGTTTTGAGCTGACTTAGCCCATCAAAATTTGGATTTTGTTTTCCAAAAACATGAAGAACTTCCTCCCTTGCTCGTACTTGCCATTCAGGGTACCTACCCAACAAGATCATAGTCCAAACCAGCAAAGTTGAAGTGGTCTCTTGCCCGGCCAAGTAGAATAGCTTGCATTCCCCAATTACATCTTCATTGGTCATTCCAGCACTCCTACTGTTTCCACCCCCCTGGATTTCCATTTGATTTGATTCCAAAAGAATGCCTAATAAATCTTCATTGCAGGTTTCGCCATTCTTCATGGCTTGCACTCGTTTTTTTATGATAGCCTCAACTGAATCATGGATTTCTCTATCAATTGCTCTCATCTTCTTGTTGGTAGCGGTTGGTAAATGCCTATTAACATATATGTTAATTATGAAGGAATGGTATGGACTTGCTCACAAGTGTTATAACTGAACCTAACTAAGCTGACATAGGTCAACATTCTATAAAAAAAAACGTAACCTTGGTCTTGTATAGTCAGTTGGTATGCGTCATCCCTTGGATTTCAAGGACTTTTTCGAAAACCAGATATTAAATATCTTTAGGATGAGAAATACAGTAAATCAACATCTGTAGGTGATCAGTAATTATTTGTCGTCACTATGAGAAATTGTTATTTATATTTTGTATGTTGTGGGGAATACTAGAGAAGAAACTACACGAGATACCCAACAAAGAGATGAGTGAAATCATACAAATGAAGTTGCTGTTACACTTAATCTTAAAAGCATTCCATTAGCAGTTTTTTCTAGTCTACTTATCTATTTTTAGCCAATGTGAGATGTTATATTCACACTTACGCTCCAACCCATTTCATATCTTAAGCAATTAGACACCTAGCATACGTCCAAACTTGAGATCCAGAAGCTTTCAATCTAGCTTTAATTAGTTTATCTTCACACCAAGATGTAAACATAGAAAACACCTTTGTACATTTTGTTACATTAGAGAATAATTTCCTTTGCATTATAATCGATAATTAGTTGCTTACTCTACGAACTTTATGGTGATTGTGGCTCTGGTAAAAGTAGAAAATGCTTAATTAATTGTCTTAAACCATATTAGTCACAGCATGTTCTTACCGCAATATTGGTATGTCCTTGTACTTTGCTGTCATTAAAAGATACCCCTGCGTTTTCAGAAGGCGAAATATTTTTTCTCCTTCTGCATAGCTGCTTCCAAATGCCGTTCTAGAAATTACATCACAAGACAATTTCTGAAGGAAAGGCCAAACGTCAATCTCACAGTTTCCGTCTGCTGACAACATTCCCTTCCAAGTGCTTATCATTTCATGGCAGCTTTGAGAAAATGCTGGCATCATATTCTGTAAATTAAGTATCGAGTGTAAAGAGAAAGAAGAAACAGAATTTGATTAGAAACCACAAGATTAAATTAAGAATCTGATATTTATATGGTTAACTAAGCAGGAATAATTGGTATAACTTTCACTACATAAATGAATAAACTTTTCATACATGTCAGTATGTGATTGAATAACAATATAGGAATATTTTGCACTATTTTCATGCACTACACTATTTATTCATAAATTTAAATAATAACCTTACTTTCAACTTTTCTAAGTGGAATGCTGGGTTCATAATCCTTCGATGTTTAGCCCATTTCTCTCCCTCGTAACTTACAACACCATTCATCAAGAGCTTAGCATTGGCACTTAACGCTGGCTTGTGGAAGTCATGAATGTTGTTAAAGACTTCTTTGATTTGATTTGGGTCCGAAATGATGACCTTTGCTGTTCTTCCTTCCCATAAAAAGGATTTCTTGCCTGCACATCCTTCACATATCAGCAACTTCTTCAAAAAGATTTAACAACTTAAAAAGTAGTTAAGCTTAATTTGGATAAAGGTTTAGAAAGCATTTTGCAGAGTTCTATGAAAAAAATGATGAAGAAAATGTTGTTGCTAGAGTCTTTCTAGTTTTAATCCAAATGTTAACTTGCCAATGCCAATTCAATCATACCAGAGAAGGAATGAACTTTCATACACGCAGCAGTAGGTAACCATCAATAATTTCTTTTCA